GTCTTGATGGTATGAAAGTACAAATGGGAGATCCCACAACTTTAAAATTATCTGGTTTTCTCTCGGATAAAAGGTCTCAATTGTATGACACTGTTTATGTAACTGTCTGGTTGGGCAATGAGAAAAAACGTGTTAATGCAGTAATTGTAGATAGACTTCCAGAGAAAATTACTACAGTAGGGCTTAGTAAAGCTACAGAAAGACTTTCACATAATGTAAATTTAGCATCTTCTGGTGTAAGTGATGATTCTGTAGGCCCAATAAATATTTTGATAGGTAGTGACTATTATGCCTCCTTTGTAAAGGGTATGGTAAAGAAATGTGGTGTCACCCTTTTGAAGACTGCAGGAGGCCATGTAATGTATGGTAGGATTCCTCGTAATAATAATTCATGACTAGAGGAAACTACAAATACCATAACTGTGTGTCTTACTCATGAAGTCGTACCCCAGTATAATTCTTCCATAGAGGATGGTGTTGAGCCAGTGGGAATTAACATGACTCAAGAAATCGTAATGACACGATTGCAAACAAATCATACCCCCGGCCGGGATTGAACCCGCGGTCATAGAGTCTCAAAACTCCAGCCCGTCGCGTTAGCCACTAGACCAGCTAGCCACAATAAGATTCATCCAACTAGGTATATTTCTACACCATAGGAAAGTTAGCACAGGCACCTCTGTGACCACAAATGCAAGTTTTTACAGACGAATCTCCAGCTAGCGTGGCCGTGACGAACTCTAGCTCAAGTCCCTTCACTGCCGTCAACATGACTCTTGTGGCTAACGCGACGGGCTGGAGTTTTGAGACTCTATGACCGCGGGTTCAATCCCGGCCGGGGGTATGATCAGTGGGAATTAGACAGCATTGGAATAAATGTAAATGATGAAAGTCCAGACGATTCTTTTACTCAGGAACAATACCTAAGAGATGTAAAATTTGAATCTGGACAATACTGGGTACGACTTCCGTGGAGACTGAACCATCCAGAATTGCCCACTAATTACAGAATGGCATATGTACAGTTAAAGGCTCAGCTCCGCGAACTGAGTAAGACACCAGAATTGTTAACTGCCTATAATGATATAATTGCTGAACAATTAATTAATAAATTTATAGAAGAGGTACCTCCTGAGCAAGCCAAAATTTATGGTCACTATTTGCCACATCATGGAGTGAAGAAGGATTCTAAGACCACTCCTCTGAGAATTGTGTTTAATTGTAGTGCCAGGAGTAACAAAAATGTACCTAGTTTAAATGACTGTTTGATGACAGGTCCGTCGTTGACGGAAAAATTAGGAGATATCTTATTAAATTTCAGAGTGAAGCCTTTTGCCTTTACGGCTGACATAAGTAAAGCTTTCCTAAGAGTGTGTTTACAAGAGGCTGACCGGGATTGTACCCGCTTCTTATGGCCTGAGAATCCTATTGACCCACTTAGCCTTCTGTAAACCTTTCGCTTTAGGAGCATATTATTTGGTGCTACATCCAGTCCGTTCCTACTTCAAGCAACGATAAATGCACACCTTAAACGTATGGAAAGTCCATTGAGTAAAGTAATGAGCAAACAATTTTATGTGGACAATTTCCTGGGTGTGACGTCAACTGAAGAGGAACTGTTAATGTGCCTCTCAACCTACACTGTGCCTCTCAACCTACACTGTGCCCTGTCAACCTACACTGTGCCTCTCAACCTACACTGTGCCTCTCAACCTACACTGTGCCTCTCAACCTACACTGTGCCTCTCAACCTACACTGTGTCTCTCAACCTACACTGTGCCTCTCAACCTACACTGTGCCTCTCAACCTACACTGTGCCTCTCAACCTACACTGTGCCCTCTCAACCTACACTGCACTCTCAACCTACACTGTGCCTCTCAACCTACACTGTGCCTCTCAACCTACACTGTGCCCTCTCAACTTTCTCTGTGTCTCTCAACCTACACTGTGACTTAACTTAGTCTCTGTCTCTCAACCTACACTGTGACTCTCAACCTACACTGTAACTCTCAACCGACACTGTGCCCTCTCAACCTACACTGTGCCCTGTCAACCTACACTGTGCCTCTCAACCTACACTGTGCCTCTCAACCTACACTGTGCCTCTCAACCTACACTGTGCCCTCTCAACCTACACTGTGCACTCTCAACCTACACTGTGCCTCTCAACCTACACTGTGCCTCTCAACCTACACTGTGCCTCTCAACCCACACTGTACCTCTCAACCTACACTGTGCCCTCTCAACCTACACTGTGCCCTCTCAACCTACACTGTGCCTCTCAACCCACACTGTGCCTCTCAACCTACACTGTGCACTCTCAACCTACACTGTGCCTCTCAACCTACACTGTGCCTCTCAACCTACACTGTGCCTCTCAACCCACACTGTGCCCTCTCAACCTACAATGTGCACTCTCAACCTACACTGTGCCTCTCAACCTACACTGTGTCTCTCAACCTACACTGTGCCTCTCAACCTACACTGTGTCTCTCAACCTACACTGTGCCTCTCAACCTACACTGTGCCTCTCAACCTACACTGTGCACTCTCAACCTACACTGTGCCTCTCAACCTACACTGTGTCTCTCAACCTACACTGTGCCTCTAAACCCTACACTGTGCCCTCTCAACCTACACTGTGCCTCTCAACCTACACTGTGCCTCTCAACCTACACTGTGTCTCTCAACCTACACTGTGCCTCTCAACCTACACTGTGCCTCTCAACCTACACTGTGCCTCTCAACCTACACTGTGCCCTCTCAACCTACACTGTGTACTCTCAACCTACACTGTGCCTCTCAACCTACACTGTGCCTCTCAACCTACACTGTGCCCTCTCAACATACACTGTGCACTCTCAACCTACACTGTGCCTCTCAACCTACACTGTGCCTCTCTACCTACACTGTGCCTCTCAACCCACACTGTGCCCTCTCAACCTACACTGTGCACTCTCAACCTACACTGTGCCTCTCAACCTACACTGTGCCTCTCAACCTACACTGTGCCCTCTCAACCTACACTGTGTACTCTCAACCTACACTGTGCCTCTCAACCTACACTGTGCCTCTCAACCTACACTGTTCCCTCTCAACCTACACTGTGCACTCTCAACCTACACTGTGCCTCTCAACCTACACTGTGCCTCTCAATCTACACTGTGCCTCTCAACCTACACTGTGCCTCTCAACCTACACTGTGTCTCTCAACCTACACTGTGCCTCTCAACCTACACTGTGTCTCTCAACCTACACTGTGCCTCTCAACCTACACTGTGCCTCTCAACCTACACTGTGTCTCTCAACCTACACTGTGCCTCTCAACCTACACTGTGCCTCTCAACCTACACTGTTCCCTCTCAACCTACACTGTGCACTCTCAACCTACACTGTGCCTCTCAACCTACACTGTGCCTCTCAATCTACACTGTGCCTCTCAACCTACACTGTGCCTCTCAACCTACACTGTGTCTCTCAACCTACACTGTGCCTCTCAACCTACACTGTGTCTCTCAACCTACACTGTGCCTCTCAACCTACACTGTGCCTCTCAACCTACACTGTGTCTCTCAACCTACACTGTGCCTCTCAACCTACACTGTGCCTCTCAACCTACACTGTGCCTCTCAACCTACACTGTGTCTCTCAACCTACACTGTGCCTCTCAAACCTACACTGTGCCTCTCAACCTACACTGTGCTTCTCAACCTACACTGTGCCCTCTCAACCTACACTGTGCCTCTCAACCTACACTGTGCCTCTCAACCTACACTGTGCCTCTCAACCTACACTGTGCCTCTCAACCTACACTGTTCCCTCTCAACCTACACTGTGCCTCTCAACCTACACTGTGCCTCTCAACCCACACTGTGCCTCTCAACCTACACTGTGCCCTGTCAACCTACACTGTGCCTCTCAACCTTCCATGCCGACTACTTGACAGCGCAACACCTGGTTGTCTTCAATCATAATATTTTTGTGTATTTTAGGATACTCGTCTTCTTAATCTCTCTGAAAAAAATTAAATTTGATTTGTTCTATTTACAACTTAATTTTAAATTTATTTATAAGAAATTTATTTATGTTGATTTGAGGTACACGGGTGCTGGGGTTAGACAATGGGATACATTTCTAGAAACCACATCTCAATTTCCAAGGGTCACAGCGGGAATGTGACCCCTGCAGTAGATCATAGTGGGATCACAGTGGTAAGGTGACCCCTGCACTAAATCATGGTGGAGTTAAGGTGGGGAGGTACCCCCTGCACTAGATCATGGTGGGGTCACAGCGAAAAGGTGACCCATACATTAGATCATGGTGGGGTCACAGCTGGAAGGTGACCCCTGCACTAGATAATGTGGGATCACAGCAGGGAGGTGACCCCTGCACTAGATCATGGGGTCACAGTGGAAAGGTGACCCATACACTAGATCATGGTGGGGTCACAGCGGCAAGGTGATCCCTGCACTAGATCAAGGTGGGGTCACAACAGTTAGGTGACCCTTCACTAGATAATGGTGGGTCATAATCAATTAGGTTTCAAGAAGACGTTTGTCATCCATTTTATAAATTCGTTGCTGTTATACCAAGTGTGTGTCTTCACTCTGATGCACCACTCATAGTCTCACTCTCAGGCTGAGTGCTGGTTCATGGCATCATAGGTTAAGCTAATCTTCACTCAGCTTGAAGGCAACTTATTACTACAGAAATTTACACATGTTTGGCCACTCTTGAGTGACCATTCAACTCAGCTGGCAGAGGCCGCGCTGTCTCACATACGATCAGTTCTTTTGCATTTATATCTATATACTTTTAGATACTTTAAGTTACGTTTTTTTTTTTTACATTTTTTTATAATGAGACTATGAGTAATTTAGGGACGGTGAGAGTTGCTTATTCATGTTGTGTATGAAATATTCAAGAGTGCGGTACGACAAGTATAACAGCCTAGCTGAGGCAAATTCAGTCTTGGGCAGTGTTCTGGTGAGTGTTAGAGTGGATGTAACGTAGTTCGCTGTCAGGGTGGTGATGTGACGCCTTGGCTTAGTGTTTGTCTAACAGTCATTATGGAATATTACAGACTGCTTATTATAATCCTCTACGTCCTTAGTAATGGATATGGACCTCACAGAGTGGAATCAGGTAAGTAATCAATTTCATATTAATTTGTTAATGGAGAATATTTACGTTTTTGTATACATATGTCAGGCTGAGGTGACGGAAGTGTTCCTTAAGTTGACTCAGTTATCCTAAGTTAAATTATGTAAAAAATTATGTAAATGATAACTTGGGTACTATACCAGACAGAACTATGACAGAACTATTATAGCAGGGAGAACTACAACATGCAGAACTACATCAGCATGCAAAACTTACTACAGCATGCAGAACTACCACAACATGCAGAACTACAGCATGCAGAACTATAGCATGCAGAACTATATCATGCAGAACTATATGCAGAACTATAGCATGCAGAACTATATGCAGAACTATATCATGCAGAACTATATCATGCAGAACTATAGCATGCAGAACTACCACAACATGCAGAAGTACAGCATGCAGAACTATAGCATGCAGAACTATATCATGCAGAACTATATCATGCAGAACTATAGCATGCAGAACTACCACAACATGCTGAAGTACAGCATGCAGAACTATAGCATGCAGAACTATAGCATGCAGAACTATAGCATGCAGAATTATAGCATGCAGAACTTTAGCATGCAGAATTATAGCATGCAGAACTATAGCATGCAGAACTATAGCATGCAGAATTATAGCATGCAGAACTATAGCATGCAGAACTACTACAACATGCAGAACTATATCATGCAGAACTATAGCATGCAGAACTATATCATGCAGAGCTACTACAACATGCAGAACTATATCATGCAGAACTATAGCATGCAGAACTATATCATGCAGAACTATAGCATGCAGAACTATATCATGCAGAACGATGGCATGCGGAACTACTACAGCATATAGAACTACTACAACATGCAGAACTACTACAACATGCAGAACTACTACAGCATGCAGAACTACTACAGCATGCAGAACTACTACAGCATGCAGAACTACTACAGCATGCAGAACTACTACAGCATGCAGAACTACTACAGCATGCAGAACTACTACAGCATGCAGAACTACTACAGCATGCAGAACTACTACAGCATGCAGAACTACAGCATGCAGAACTACAACATGCAGAACTACTACAGCATGCAGAACTACTACAGCATGCGGAACTACTACAGCATGCGGAACTACTACAGCATGCAGAACTACTACAGCATGCAGAACTACTACAACATGCAGAACTACTACAGCATGCAGAACTACTACAGCATGCAGAACTACTACATGCGGAACTACTACAGCATGCAGAACTACTACAGCATGCAGAACTACTACAGCATGCAGAACTACAGCATGCAGAACTACTACAGCATGCAGAACTACTACAGCATGCAGAACTACTACAGCATGCAGAACTACTACAACATGCAGAACTACTACAGCATGCAGAACTACTACAGCATGCAGAACTACTACAGCATGCGGAACTACTACAGCATGCAGAACTACTACAGCATGCAGAACTACTACAGCATGCGGAACTACTACAGCATGCAGAACTACTACAGCATGCAGAACTACTACAGCATGCAGAACTACTACAGCATGCGGAACTACTACAGCATGCAGAACTACTACAGCATGCAGAACTACAACAGCATGCGGAACTACTACAGCATTCAGAACTACTACAGCATGCGGAACTACTACAGCATGCAGAACTACAACAGCATGCAGAACTACTACAGCATGCAGAACTACTACAGCATGCGGAACTACTACAGCATGCAGAACTACTACAGCATGCAGAACTACTACAGCATGCAGAACTACAGCATGCAGAACTACTACAGCATGCGGAACTACTACAGCATGCAGAACTACAACAGCATGCAGAACTACTACAGCATGCGGAACTACTACAGCATGCAGAACTACTACAGCATGCAGAACTACAACAGCATGCAGAACTACAACAGCATCCAGAACTACAACAGCATGCATAACTACTACAGCATGCAGAACTACTATAGCATGCAGAACTACTACAGCATGCGGAACTACTACAGCATGCAGAACTACTACAGCATGCGGAACTACTACAGCATGCAGAACTACAACATACAGAACTACAGCATGCAGAACTACTACAGCATGCAGAACTACTGCAGCATGCAAAACTACTACAGCATGCAGAACTACAGCATGCAGAATTACTACAGCATGCAGAATTACTACAGCATGCAGAATTACTACAGCATGCAGAACTACAGCATGCAGAACTACTGCAGCATGCAAAACTACTACAGCATGCAGAACTACAGCATGCAGAATTACTACAGCATGCAGAATTACTACAGCATGCAGAATTACAACATGCAGAACAACTACAGCATGCAGAACCACTACAACGTGCAGAACTATATCATGCAGAACTACTACAGCATGCAGAACTACAACATGCAGAACTACTACAACATGCAGAACTACTACAGCATGCAGAACTACTACAGCATGCGGAACTACTACAGCATGCGGAACTACTACAGCATGCAGAACTACTACAGCATGCAGAACTACTACAACATGCAGAACTACTACAGCATGCAGAACTACTACAGCATGCAGAACTACTACAGCATGCGGAACTACTACAGCATGCAGAACTACTACAGCATGCAGAACTACTACAGCATGCAGAACTACTACAGCATGCGGAACTACTACAGCATGCAGAACTACTACAGCATGCAGAACTACTACATGCAGAACTACTACAACATGCAGAACTACTACAGCATGCAGAACTACTACAGCATGCAGAACTACTACAGCATGCAGAACTACTACAGCATGCGGAACTACTACAGCTTGCAGAACTACTACAGCATGCAGAACTACTACAGCATGCGGAACTACTACAGCATGCAGAACTACTACAGCATGCAGAACTACTACAGCATGCAGAACTACTACAGCATGCGGAACTACTACAGCATGCAGAACTACTACAGCATGCAGAACTACAACAGCATGCGGAACTACTACAGCATGCAGAACTACTACAGCATGCGGAACTACTACAGCATGCAGAACTACAACAGCATGCAAAACTACAGCATGCAGAACTACTACAGCATGCGGAACTACTACAGCATGCGGAACTACTACAGCATGCAGAACTACTACAGCATGCAGAACTACTACAGCATGCAGAACTACAGCATGCGGAACTACTACAGCATGCAGAACTACAACAGCATGCAGAACTACTACAGCATGCGGAACTACTACAGCATGCAGAACTACAGCATGCAGAACTACAACAGCATGCAGAACTACAACAGCATGCAGAACTACAACAGCATGCAGAACTACTACAGCATGCAGAACTAAAGATAAAAGCAAAAAGCATGCAGAACTACAGCATGCGAACTACACTACGAACAATGCAGAACTCTACATAACTACTGCAATGCAGAAGCTACTACAGCATGCAGAACTACACATACAGAACTACAGCATGCAGAACTACTACAGCATGCAGAATACTACATGCACAATGCATAAACTACTACAGCATGCAAAACTACTACAGCATGCAGAATTACTACAGCATGCAGAATTACTACAGCATGCAGAATTACTACAGCATGCAGAACTACAGCATGCGAACTACTACAGCAGCAGACTGCATGAAACTACACTAACATCATGCAGAACTACTACAGCATGCAGAATTACTATCAGCAGCATATGCAGAACTACTACAGCATGCAGAATTACAACATGCAGAACTACTACAGCATGCAGAACTACTACAGCATGCAGAACTACTACAACGTGCAGAACTATATCATGCAGAACTACTACAACATGCAGAACTATATCATGCAGAACTATACATCGACCACGCAGACTACTACAACATGCAGAAACTAATCATGCAGAACTACTACATGCGAACTACTACAGCATGCAGAACTATACATCATGCAGAAACTAAGCATGCAGAGACTACTACAACACATGCAGAACTATAAGCATGCAGAACATAGCATGCGGAACTACTACAGCACTATACAAGAACTACTACAACATGCAGAACTACTACAACATGCAGAACTACTACAGCATGCTGAACACTACTACAGCATGCAGAACTACTACAGCATGCAGAACTACTACAGCATGCAGAACTACTACAGCATGCAGAACTACTACAGCATGCAGAACTACTAACAGCATGCAGAATACTACAGCATGCGGAACTACTACAGCATGCAGAACTACTACAACATGCAGAACTACTACAGCATGCAGAACTACTACAGCATGCGGAACTACTACAGCATGCAGAACTACTACAGCATGCGGAACTACACAGCATGCAGAACTACACATCACACACAATGCAGAACTACTAACAACACATGCAGAACTACTACAGCATGCAGAACTACTACAGCATGCGGAACTACTACAGCATGCAGAACTACTACATCATGCAGAACTACTACAGCATGCAGAACTACTACAGCATGCGGAACTACTACAGCATGCAGAACTACTACAGCATGCGGAACTACTACAGCATGCAGAACTACAGCATGCGGAACTACTACAGCATGCAGAACTACTACATGCAGAACTACTACAGCATGCAGAACTACAACAGCATGCAGAACTACTACAGCATGCAGAACTACTACAGCATGCGGAACTACTACAGCATGCAGAACTACAACAGCATGCAGAACTACAACAGCATGCAGAACTACTACAGCATGCAGAACTACTACAGCATGCAGAACTACTACAGCATGCGGAACTACTACAGCATGCAGAACTACTACAGCATGCGGAACTACTACAGCATGCAGAACTACACACATGACTACACATGCAGAACTACTACAGCATGCGGAACTACTACAGCATGCAGAACTACAGCATGCAGAACTACAACAGCATGCAGAACTACAACAGCATGCAGAACTACTACAGCATGCAGAACTACTACAGCATGCAGAACTACTACAAGC